CTTCCAAAATTTCAACGCAGTTTTTTCCCTGAAGCTATCAGGGATCCTTAAAAAATTCGAAATCCAGGCTATACAATGAATACGATAACTAGTACATCAACTAGGGTTTCTCTGAAATCAATGACCCATGAGACTGCTGCTGAGTTACTTCTCGATTAACAACTTTAAACAAAATCAATGGCTGAACTTGAAAATCGTTTTACAGAAAACATATCAGCTTAATTACTTTCCAAGATAGTAAAAAAATAATAAAATGTGAATTAGTCACAGCATATGATATCTTGATACCATTTGCTTAAGCAGAATATTGCTCAACAATAAACCGGTGCACACTATCGCTGAAGGTGCATCTTTCAGAGCTGGAATGCTATGTCTCCTAAATCCAATCAAAGTTCATGGAAGCTACTACATATGAACTAATTCTATCAAACTTGTCCACCTAGAATGTCTTGACATGCTTTCCCATCTGTAACTATAGTAAAAAAGAAAGCATGAAAAAGGAAAAGGGGAGGTAAAAAATATCAAATGTGGCAAAATGAAATTTCCATGGCTAGCCGAAAAGCATGGATATTTCAAAATAAATAAATAATTAAGATGATTAAAAGATGTTAAAACAAAAGAAGTCGTCCTGGACTTGTGATGGTATCATTTTGTGTTTATGGTTCTTTATTTTAAGAGATTACCCTTTTGCCGCATTAAGACCTTCGTCAATCTAACTGAACCTTCAAAGAAAAGTTATACCTCTGGATAGTAGTTGCTATCAATTTTCTGAATTTCCATAAAGAGAGATCTCGCAGTTTTTGAGAAAGTGGACATTCCCTAAGCAAAGGCAAGAATCAAACTATTGATCAGGACATACCGCAAAAAGGCTCGGAATTAAAACCTGACAAACAAAACGATCACATGGTTTCCCCCAACATGAACAGACAGAAAAGAGACATAACTTATGATTTATAGGTCAAGTAACTCTTTCTCAGTGCTGATAATTTGCAAGATACAAGTATTGAATGCGATGCTCACCACTCCCTTCACATCTAAAATACTTGTGATGGATGCTATATGTCTCTTAGCTGCAATTGAACATGCAGGGAACCTAATATTTAATGTCTTCTCCAGTTCCGACACGTGATATCTGACAAATCTGTCAACTGTAGTTGCCTGCAACAGGGCATTAAGGTCTACCATTCCGATCCGTTCAATGTATATCGGTCTTCCATTTCTATCAACCCCATGATATCCATGAGGATAACATTTCTTTACTTCTGCATATTCTTCAAACTTAAATTCCTGCACTGAGTTCCAAACAAATGAACCCCTTGAAGAATTTACAGACAAAGGCAAGAGTCGACTTCGATATGGCAGAAGTTAATGTAAAAGGAATGGTTGGATTTGAATGTCAATTGTCAAACCATACATATATGGTAACAAATAAATTTGTTCCATCACCTTCAGAATTTCATCAACCCCATATTCCTCACGCCACCTGAGACATTGCACGAACTTGTCCTTTGCTTTTGAAAGATCAAAGTCACTCATCCGGAGAAACCTGACAGGCATTACATTAAACACCATCTTATCGTAAATTAACAGTCAATAACCAAGAATATTGGCTTACAATATATCATTTCAGGAAATAAAACTAAAACTGATACGATCAAACTTACCTTAAAAGAGAATGATAGTCAGTTTGCCTCTCCATTAGATGACCTTCAGCAAAAAGTTGTTCACGGAGAGAATCAACAAGTTGTTCATATTTTGGATCATGAACTCCTTCAAGGACTATTCGCAAGCTTTTGCCCCTTCCAAGTTTCTTCAACGAGTTCCGAATCTTGCGAGGGTAATTTAACATTGACTTGACGCCTGGTTTAGGCAACAAAGAAGAAGGCTTATTTTCTTCTGGAGGATGGAGAAGCCACTGGGATTCAATGGGTGGATGGATAGATTTTGTCCTTGCTTTTCCTAGCTGAGAACGCTTTGAGTCTGAAGATTCCTCACCTTCTCCACTACCTCTCATTATGATTATCTCCTGAAAAGTCTCCTTTTGTTTAAACATATGTACTGATATCCAATCAACTCAATGAGCGCATTCGTGAAAAAGAATTATCAACACAAGAGTACAAAAATCTGTTCCTGCAGAATCAAATTGTATTCACTTATCCAGCAACTATCATATGGCTAAAAGAAACGAAAACTTGGAGGTCTCCTTCATTGCATTGGCAAAGTCACTTGCTATCAAACTAGACACAATTGAAGTGCAGAGTTAAGAGACAAACTTCAACTCAAATTGTAATCGAGAATTGATGAAATTTCAAGAAATCACGGCAAACTCTCAAACCATTCGAGGTTCCACAAAAACGACTGGGGCATACGAAAAAGGAAATTGCCAAACTGGTTACAACTTGCAATGAAAAGAAGTGCAACGAGAAAACCTATCAACGACCCAAAAGCAAGACGAACCGATTACAGAGTAATAATTGCTGAAACAGAAAGAGATTGCAGAGTCCGAGTCTGTCCAAATTAAGCGAGCCTGACAGCAGAAAGTTGTAATGTATACGAGTGAAAAAAAGCAACAAGGATAAAGAGACATAAAGGCAGACATCTAAACCTTTGCACTGCAGTGAATAATTAAGAAAGCATCGAATGTGATCCAATGCTTGCTTGGTCTTCCAACATTAGGTTGGAATATTTCGCTCCAAGTAACCTCTTCTTTTCTTTTTGTTTCAGCAAGCAAATATAGGAGTGCCTCACGAAACAGTAAAGGTTTTCTTAAGCAAAGCATGGCATGGGAGGGGGTTGGGGAGCCAAGCACCTTTAACTGAAATTAACGGTGTTTGTCCCTTTGCTTCGCCATGTCTTGCTTTCTCAGGTCCTAAAAGCCCAGAAAAGGCACGAAATGGCCCATTAACAGGTTCGGGGACTCAGGTTAAACACTTGATTTATCAACATATTCCACCCTCAGCCCACAACTGACGATGACAATGACCACCATGGCCCTTGGCAGCTCGTCCAAAAGAAGAAAAAATCTAAGATTTCTGCATGGGAAATCAAATCCTTTTAGTGTTTTTTGAGAAATAATATTTATAGTAAAAGTTCGTCAACAGTTGAAATATATATCCCAAGAGGATTTGGCTAATGTTTTTCACAACTCGAAAGACTGCTTAGGGAGCGGCATCTTTTTTATCAATTCAATTATGTTTATCTAGCAACAAACTGTTTCCTTCCTTAATAAAAAAGAACTATCATACTACATAGTATATCCACCAAGATTATGTCAGCTCAATCTAACATAATGTTAGTTCGATGTGTTAAAAAGTATAGATAAATATTATCCTACCTCTATTATATATAAGTTAAAATATCTAATTTCCCACTTAACTTATAATAGAAGCTTAATTGGTGGCATAAATCACGGCATGATTTATGCCCCATGCCCCCTAACTTTGTCTATAATTAGACAAATTGAAGAGCTGAGACAGAAAAAAATAAGAGAAAGCAGTAGAGAGAGCTTGAGTGAGTAGAGTTGAGTTGAGAAGAGTTTTCTCCTCCTCTTTGTTTGTATTATTTACTTGATTGATCAATACAAACAAGTAGCTTCGTGAAGTAGGCAAGTTGCCGAACCACGTAAATCTATGTGTATTTGATTGCTTGAATGACCCAACAACTAGTATTAGAGCTTGTTCTTGAAAAAGAGGGTGTTTAATCCAAACTCAAAAATCAAAGTTCTCATAACGTGTTTTTGAACAAACCATCGTGTAGAGAAAGACGAGATGAATCCATTAGTGAAAACATGGCGAAGAATCGACATCTTGCATGCCCGCACGTGCCAACACACGCCAACGTCAGGACTGCCCACGCGCACCGACGCGACCCACGAGTCTTCTTCGCTTGAATACCTGTAACTAAACTGAGTTGACCCGATATTTCAACATACAGTCAGCAGCTACAGCAACAATTCTGCACAGTCACCTTCCACATAACCATTACACATCAGTAGAAACACGGCAGATCAAAAATCCACGTGGATTTGCCATGTCATCATATGTGAGCCCGTGTTGCTTACATGTCTGACACGTAAGTATAACCATATCAGCATACTAGGTTTTTATCTAGTGCACTGCAGACATTATTTCCATTGACACGTGGCTTCATCTGCAGCGTCCAGTAATTCAAAAGTTTGATTAATAAGATCTGAGCCATCCAAAGTCCGATTTAGGTGATTTAAGTGTCGTTCTAACTTTTTTGGCCATTCCGGATACATTTATAAGGTCAGATTTAGCAGATTCAAATCCAAGAAGTATTAAAAATGACAGTTAAAATAACGGCTACTAGAATTGAAAAATTTGATGGGACAGATTTTGGAAAATGCAAATTGATGACTATTTATATAGGAAGAAACTTCATTTTTCTCTGTTGGGGGGCAAACTAGAGAATATGCAAGAAGAAGATTGGCAAATTCTTGATAGACAGGTTTTGGGCATTATCCAGTTATCCTTATAAAAAAGAGTTGCTCACAATGTTACAAAAAAAAAATCCACTGCAAAATTAATAGAAGTCTTGTCTGGGATGTATGAGAAGCCTTTAGTAAATACTAAAGTGCATTTAATAAAGAAGTTGTTCAACTTGAAGATGACAAAAAGCACCTCTGTTACATAACATCTCAACAACTTCAATACCATCACAAATCAATTATCATATGTTGAGATTGAGTTTAATAATGAGATCCATGCACTCATTTTGCTAGCTTCATTTCCAAGCAGTTGGGAAGGTATGAGAATAGTTGTGAGCAACCCAACTGGAAAATACAAATTGAAATATGATGACATCCGAGACTTGATTTTAACTGAAGAAGTATGAAGGAAAGACTCGAGTGAAAGTTCAGGTTCATCTCTCAACATCAACACTTGAGGAAGGAGACAAGATAGAAGTTTATCTAGAGGCAGATCAAAATCAAGATACAGAAGTAAAAGAAAGTTTGGACCCAGAAAGCAGGTTGAATATTGAAATTATGCACCTAGTCATTTCATGAGGAGTTGCACAAAACTGAAAAAATCTAAAGCTGACTCTACAAATGCTACTACAGATGAGATACAAGATACTTTGATTCTTACTATACAAAGTCCAATTAATGATTGGATCCTTAATTATGGTGCTTCATTTTACTGTATACTACAATATGAAATGATGCAAAATTATTTTGCTGAAGATCACGATGTAGTCTATCTAGCCGATGGACAACCAATAGATATTGTAGGTATAGGAAATGTGCAAATCAAGATAATGAATAGATCTATATGAAACTTGCAAAATGTAAGGCATGTTCCTAGATTAAAGAAGAAGTTGATCTCCATCGGACAACTTGACAATATTAGTCATTCAATCCTTTTTTCTGGAGGTATGTGGACAGTATCGAAAGGAGCAATGGTTTTAGCTCGTGGAAAGAAAACCTGCACCCTGTATATGACCACAAGATTTGCAGACATTATTGCCTCTACTGAAGCAGAAAATCAGGCACAGTTATGGCACTGTAAAATCGGCTATATGAGTCAAAAGGGGATGAAGATACTTCAGTCAAAGGAAAAGCTGCTAGAGTTAAAAAATATGAATTTAGATATTTGTGAAAGTTGAGTTCTTAGAAAACAGAAGAAGCTCAGTTTCTTAAAGTTTGGCAAGACTTTAAGTCCAATAAAGTTAAAACTAGTATACATAGATTTATAGGGATCGTCTTCAGTAGCATCTCTTGGAGGTTCTCGGTATTATATGGCTTTCATTGATGATTTCAGCAGGAAGGTATAGGTCTACTTTTTGAAAAATAAATCTGATATATTTGAAACATTCAAGAAATGGAAGGCTATGGTTGAGACTGAATCAGGTCCGAAGTTAAAATACTTAAGATCTAATAATGAAGGAGAATACATTGATGGATGTTTTAAAAAGTATTGCGCTGTTAAAGGTATCAGAATGGAAAAGACCATTCCAGGCACACCACAATAGAATGGCATTGCTACAAGACCATCAATGTACGAGCTAGAAGCATGAGGTTGCATTCTGGATTACCTCAAACTTTTTAGGCTGATGTAGTTCATACTACAGTTTACTTGATCAATCATGGACCATCAGTTTCTTTGGAGTTCAGATTACCCAAAGAAGTTTGGAGAGGAAAAAAAGTATAACTCTCTCATTTAAAGGTCTTTGAGTGTGTTTTCTATATGTATATAGATTTTGATGCTCGCAACAAACTAGATGTTAAATCCAAGAAATGTTTCTTTATTGGCTATGGAGGTGAAGAATTTGGATTTTGGTTCTGGGATGATCAGAACAAAAGGATTATCAGAAGTAAGAACGTGATCTTCAATGAGAAAATTTTGTACAAAGACAGATCAAGTGTAGAAAAAGATATAGCTGATTCAGATATAAGCCCACAAAAATCTGAATTCATAAGATTAGAAGGGCTTCCGGATGTTACCAAGCAGAACAAAAATCAAGAGTCTTTACAAGAAGATTCAAGCACATCTATACCCACTACTACACAAGAAAATACGGAGCCAAGTAAACCAACTATTTATGTTTGCAGGTTTTCAAAGATTGTAAAGCCTCTACAACGGTTCATATTTCTACTAAATTATATTTTACTGATAGATGGTGGTGAACCACTAACTTATAAAGAATCCTTACAAGATAGAAACTCAAACAAGTGGGAGTTAGCCATGAAGGACGAGATGGATTCGCTGCTGACGAACAAAACTTGGGAGCTAACCACACTACCTGAAGGAAAAAAGGCTTTGTAAAATAAATGGGTTTATTTAGTAAAGATTGAGCATGATATAAGTAAACAGTTCAAGACAAGACTTGTTATAAAAGGGTTTCAACAAAAGAAAAGGTACTTTGTATAGCGACAATTAGAGTGCAATCTTCCTTACCAAGAATGTAGCATTTCACTCCAGGACTAAGTACATTCAGATCAAATATCACTTCATCTAACATTTGTTAGACACTTAACAACTACTGCTAGAAAAGGTTTGTGAAAGCAAGAATCCTGCTGACCTATTAACCAAAATAGTTACACTTGATAAACTAAAGTTGTGTAAACTTCAGTTGGTCTTCAAAGATAAAAGATAATTTCATTGTTTATCTCCAAATGAAAGATTGTTAGAAAGTGGAGACAAACATTGTTCCACCTCCATTATATGTAAGTGGGAATACCTAATCTTCCACTTGGCATATAATGGAGGCTTAATTGGTGGCATAAATCATGGCATAATTTATGCTCCATGCCCCCCAGCTCTGTTATAATTAGACACATTGAAGAGCTGAGACAGAGAGAAAAATGAGAGAGAGCAGTAGAAAGAGCTTGAGTGAGTAAAGTTGAGTTGAGAAGAGTTTTCTCCTCCTCTTTATTTGTATTATTTCATTGATTGATTAATACAAACTAGTAGCTTTGTAGAGTAGGCAAGTTGCCAAATCATGTAAATCTGTGTGTTTGATTGCTTGAATGACCCAACACAATAGACACAGATGCATGCTAAGCGAAATGCATTAATATTGCATTGACTAGAGCGGGTAGACAAAAAAAATCTATAAAAAAAAGTGGTTCTCTTACTAGGAAAACATCTCTCAATACTCCAAAATGAAAATACATATGTAAAAAGCGGTTATATACAGAGATGAACACACTGAATTATAGGAGAAAATCCCAACTTTTATTAACTTTATAACAAAGGAATATATGAATCCGTTTGTGTGTGTTATGCACAAAGTTCTGACTACTCGGATAACTTGTGACACAATATATACAATCCACTTATAATACAAAATAGGAGAGGTTAGATTGGAAATGGCTCCCTCAATTTCATATAAAGATCATGACAACTGCCCATGTGTTTTTAACAATTCTTTCTTCTTCTTCTTCTTCTTCATTTTAATGGTGGATGTTTGAGCTAGTTTACATGTACATCAATTAATCCCCCAAGACCCTGAAGTTAACAACTAGGTAAGTCTCTAATAATCCTGATATTTGTAGCACTCAAATTAGTGATTTTTAAAATATAAACTTAAAGCCTGATTAGTTAAACTATACCTAAACCAATTCTTCCCTGTATAAGAAAATGCTAATAATTATCCCTCCCTTGTCTTGTCGTTCATGAACCAGTTGCCCATCTGTTAACACTTTTATTTTTTATCTTGTTGTGTTTCTGCATGTTTTGGATTGTCAAGTCCTAGATCACACAAACCTCTTATTATGTAAGTAAATGCTATAAATTTTAATTATAAGAAGTGTAGTTTAACTGATTAAATCTTAGATTTATTTTTTAGAAGTTACTAATTTGAGTTTCATAATTTTTAATGTTACTGGAAATTTACATCATCGTTAACTTTATAATCTATAAAATTAATTGAAGTACATATAAATCAGTCCTAATATTCATATTAAAAAAAATTACTATAAATTGTGAGACCACTACTAATTTCGCCACTCTTGCCAATTTCAACACTATCCCAGAAGTTGTCACTACTTGTGTTTTTCCAAAAATGTTTGTCATCAACATACTCTCATAAATTTGATCCCAATACACATATCATAGCATATAAATGTAGCAATAAAATGTCATTAATTTAGTAATAAAATGTCATAAGGTACGTGATAGAAGCAAAAATTAGAAGAATTATATTAAGATCTTGCTTTAGTATGATTTTTTAAAAATAAATTCAAGTTTTTTTTTAAAAAAATGACTTATAGAACAGTCATAAGTATCTTTGGTTAAAAGCTTTTTTTAATCAAAATCAAAATTTATAATTTAATCAAAATTTATAGTTTTAAACTTTTGAACTCCAACTTACACCACATATTTTATTTTAAAAAAATGATTTAATTTATTCTTACCAAATATATTTATAACTTTAAGTAATTTTAATTTATTTTTATCACAAGTTATCTGTGAAAGAATATCGTTGGGGTTATGTTTTTATATATAAGTCACGCTAAACGGATTTTAATTTAAAGATTTTAGCTTTAATTAATTACTAAAAGAGGGAAAATCATTTTTACAGAATGACTAAGCTAGCTTTCTTTGAAACTCGTAACATTTGAGAAAAAAGAGGATTCAAAACGATAGTAACCTTAAATTCGCTACTAAATTGCCTTTTAATAGTAAATATTTAATTTTATCGGTGAAGCTCACAGTACTCCGTTTCTGAGGCTTTTAATTTACATTTGAGTTCATAAGAAAAACACACATAATCACTCTATTTTTCCACGAAAAAATAATAACAATTCGGTATCCATTTCCAATCACTGAATAGGAATCCCCTTTATTTGCTCGGTGGTTGGTAGGTGGCAGAAAGTCTCAAACTTTGAAGTGGCTAGCCCTTTTCCTTGTTTGTAGTGATGGGTGGTCAATCTCGGTGCCCCCAGCTCTCGAAACTAGTCTTCCATACACTTGAAACAATTGCTATTATTGTCTGGCTGGTGAAGACATTCTTTTCGGCACCGTCCGTCCACTAAAAAGAGAAAACTAGCAAAGTGGAAAGTAATATGAAACAAGGTACCGAGAAAGTTTGATGGGGATAGCTAAATTTCGGTAGATAGATGGATGGACATCGAGGAATACATATGGAGGACTGAGAACCGTAGAAAGTGAGAACTGTCTTTCAACTCCTATCCAATATTGAAGAACCGGCTTTCAGTTCTACGGGATTGAGATTGTCATCTGCGAAGCTCGAATCTCGAATCTCGAGTTGTTGTTGTAGTTGTTAGGCTTATATGACAGTGACAGATAAATATAGTGTTTAAAAATATTTTTTTATTTAGAAATATATTTAAATAATATTTTTTATTATATTAAAATAATTTACAAATACTAAAAATTCTAACTTAGACTAAAACAAATTAAATTTTAAATAAATAATATTTTAATTTCACTACCAAAACTTTTTCAAAGTGGATTCTCAAAACTAAGCAAAAGGAAATTTGAGAAAGCAAAGTGGATGGTATGCCTCTTTAGACTATGATGATGTTTGAAAATATAATAATAATAATTTTTTAATGTATTTTTTATTTAAAAATATATTAAAAAAATATATATTATTATTTTAAAAAAATATTTTTGATGTTACTAAAATAATTTAAAAATATAATAAAATGAATAAAATTTAAATTTTACATAGGTGAAACGCAATACCCAAAATATCACCTTGGTTTGAAGGATAACAGTTTTGTTCTCACAAAAGTCGATGATCATCCTCTCATGTCCACCGTGGACCAATGACATTCCCAATTATATCTTTGATTTTAATTGTATAATCTAAAGATCAGGTAAAAATACTGATTGGCAGTCAAGTGATTGTCATTCTTAATATCCACTAAAATCACAGATTTTTCATTTTAAATTTTACGAAACAAGAATCTCACCTTGATTGTAATTTTCGTAGTAAAAACATTAAGACAATTATATTATTATATTAAAAAATAGTTATTAAATCAAAACAACCTGTTTAAATTATCAAAAAGAAAAAAACATATAATATCTTGTAATTTATTAATATTGGTTAGTTAAAGTGGTTTCATACTTATTCTTTTAAGTAAAGTCTTAAATTTAAATCTTGTAAATAAAATATACTATTTTAAAATTTATTTTTTAATGAGTCGTTACAACCCGACAGGATTATTTAAAATTCAATGATAATATAAATAATAAGATTTAAAAAAAAATTGGCAGTCGTAAACTGCAGGACCCAGAGCTGAGATGGTGGGATCAAGTAATCATACATGGGAAAGCATCTAGAAACGCACGTATGGGGTAGCCAGCTGTGCCAAGAGTGACAGACACAAAGACATCACCTTTTGGGGTTGGGTCTCTTCGGGAATTGAGAACACGTTTTTACCTCATCTCATCTCATCTCATCCCATCCCTAGAGAAGACCCTGGCGGCGTTTCTGTTCTATTTGCCACCTGCCATACTCCGCCACCCTGTATTGCCGCCTCTTGATGACTCTGCTACTCCCTACTTGCACACACCAATAGTTTACACTTTACAGGAAAAGGAAATCCAGCACACATTGTGGCTAGGCATCAACAGGCTAATTGGAGATTCCTTATGACTTACATTACTGTCGTTAATTATATACATTAATTTTAATGCTTATAAATCCCAGTACCTTTTATGTTTACAAAATTTAGTGTTCTGCTAGGCTGCCCCAATTCATTTTTCATTCCTTGGTAATTCCAACACTTTTAAAGTTCGAAACTTGTTGTCACTGCCAAAATCTCGAGTCCGTGATCAGCAGAATCTTGGATCCGTGAGCATGGTGAGTTGGGTCTTCCTAAAAGGAAGGATTGAAAGGAAGTGATGCATGGTGAGTTGGTTCTTCCTGCAAAAGAAGCCAAACTCTAAGTTGTTGACAGCTGGTTAGTATTTTGCTCGACTGAGTTGACCCTCCTCTGCAGCCATGCCAGCTCGTCTTTGGGATGTGTACACACATATCTTCTCTCGAGCGCCCCCAAGTTAACAAATTGTCATGTAGTACACGGTGTCGCAGAGACAAGCTTTGCTCCTCGTCAATGAACTGCATTATGCAGTGGAAGCTGAAATTCGACTCCCGCTAGCAATAAAAGCAGAGACAAGCTTTGCTCCTCCTCATCAATGTGCTGCATATGTAGTGGAAGCTGAAATTCGACTCCCGCTAGCAATAAAAGCAGAAACAACCTTTGCTCCTACTCATCAATGAGCTGCATTATGCAGTGGAAGCTGAAATTCGACTCCCGCTAGCAACAAAAGCTGCTGTAAACTTCCAACGAGGAACAATTTAGCCTTGCGCAGTATTGTATGGTAATCAGACACACAATGTAAATAGCACCAGATTTGAAATATTATCAGTGACCTAATTGGTGGCTTGAATATGTCTATGAAAGAAAAAATAATAATTACTTTAAACAAATATTTAGTGTATAAATTCTCAATATTTGTAACAAAGAGTATCACTCTGTTTCTTTACAGTGATTATAATAAATGTCATTTAAAAACCGGTCTTCATCTGACTCTTTATTCTTTCAATAATCTCTTTTACTAGATCCCAAATCGATTCTTTTTCTCATGGATATACATAAAACAATTAACTATTCCACGACAACTTTATATCCACTGTAACGTGATATAATATCATTTTTTTTAAATATAGAAAAATTTTAAGTGTATAAAATATATTTTAATATTATTATTAAACTTAATCCAGTAGTTTAAATTTTAAATCTTCATTCAATTTTTTATCAAATCTAAGATAGTTAGGTCTAACAATTATATCAGATTTAAGATGTTTGAGTCTAGCATAACCTAAACTTCTAGGCTTAACAATCATATTAAACTTATACATCTTTTTATAAAAATATAAAAATTTACTTATAATTGTTCTAAAAATATATTTATTTTATATTTTTATTATTTTTATTTTAACCAAGTATATTTGTATCCTTTTCATATTTATTTATTCTATTTTTAAACATTAACCACGCAAACCCTTAAAATTCACTCAGTTTTTTTTATTAATCTCTAATTTTAATGAAGAAATCATCTACAAAATTATACAAAATAAGATAATTAAAAAAACAATAAGCTTTTTACATATACAATAGTTTCTTTTTCTATAGCATAATATATCAATTTAAAAGTTTAAAAATTTTCTTTTAAGTTCATATGTTTTAAATTTTCATATATACTAATGGTTATAACATATAATAAATCATCATTGTAATAAACTTTGACAATTCAATCATGTAACACATATAATAAATCATCATTATAATAAACTTTGACAATTCAATCATGTAACAACATTTTAAATTTAAAAAAGCATGAACTGTTTAAAAAATTATCAAACATTTGAATGGAAATATAAAATTAATATTTTTCATCTATAATGTATACATAAAAAAATTTATTATTGAAGATTTGAAATAAATCACTTAGAACTCATTAATAGCACAAGCGTCACCCCTTGTTAGGGTATGAGAAATAAACACCTATAATTTTTCGATTAAAAAATAATAAATACATTATGAAAATAATAAAACATCCTTGTGAACCCTTTAATTATATAAAATATTCATGTAAAAATAACAAAGTTTTTTTTATTTTTTTTCAAAGTTAAAAGAGTTATTTAACTTTATTTAAAAATTAAAAAAATCTGAATATTTTTATGTAAAAAAATCAAATAAATATTTATCTAAATGAAAACATAAAAAATAAAATTATCATTACAATTCATAATAAAAACCCTTTTAATTTACTGTAATTCTTCCACGTCATTTAATTTTTATTATAATTAAACCAAACCCCAGCCAATAATCAGAGCTTCATCGAGACACATGCAAGTGAACACAGCCATTTTTGGACTTTCGAATTCCCAATCGGGGACGGTCGAGTATGGTACGAATATGATGAGTGGTTGAAATGGGATCGCATTTTTAAGAGTGGCAGTGGCGCCCTACCAAGCGTCAATGGAGCAGGAGAATCATAACCCGAGAAGATGGCGTAAAATTGGATTTCGAGTGCTCTCGTCACAGAAGGATTCAAAATATCTACCAGATGACAGCTGCACGCACCATCACTTGATGCATATCTTGGCTGAGGGTTCACGCCAGTAACCTCCTAAAGAGACTCGACGCGTTGCACGTTGAATAATTAACGTCAAAAGGGCCCCCTGTATCTTAAACCTCAATGGGGCATAGCACATTATATTTGTCATCCAGGCATGAATAAAATCTTCACCTGATCGCTCGGTTTATGGCTTCATACTTTTTGAGTCTCTCTAGAAACATCCAAATTTTTTTAGTCTTGATAGAAAAAAAAAATCCCTTCTATTTCACTATTCATTGCTATTAGATAAAATTAATATATACTAAAAAGGTTTTTTTTTTTTTTTTTTACATTTTAGTGCAGTAATAAACAGTGTTATGTAAAAGTATATTTCACTTTGGTCCTGAAAATTTCGGAAGATTTTTTTTAATTTTAAACTTTGTTATTAATTTATTATTTAATATTGAATTTGTTATGTATTAGACTTTATAGCTTTTTAACTTGTTTTTATGGAGTTATCATGAGACTTATGACTTGGATAGTGAATTAATCATGCTAACTAGAGTTATTTTTTAATTTTTTTTTAATTTTATCTCTCAATATTGAGTTAAGTAAGAATTAGATTTTATAATTATTTTTTTATTTATTTTTTATAAAGTTATCATAATATCATAACTCAAGCCGTGAGTTTTGCGGTTTAGTTGGACTGACTCAGAATTTTTTTGCTCTTTTTAATTGGATTTTTTTAAAATTTTATCTTTTAATATTAAGTTGATTGGAAAATTAGACTTAATAATTTTTTTTATTTACTTTAGAAAAAATAGACTTAATAATTTTTTTTATTTACTTTATGCGGAGTTATATCAGTTTCATGACTTGAGTTTTACTAGTTGACTTAAATCACTATTTTATACTTTTTTTATTTGTTTTTTTAATTTAATCCTTTAACATTGGTTTTATTGGGCATTACACTTTATTTTTATATTTATTTTTAATGAGGTTATCATGATCTTATGATCCGAATAGTGGATTGGTCTGGTTAACTCGAGTTTTTTTATCCATTCTTTAGTTGAATTTTCAATTTCATATTTTTATACTGGATTGAATGAGAATTGGGCTTTATAAATTGTTTTTTGTTGACTCGGTCAAAAACCCGGTGACCTAGTTGACTCGGTTAAAAATTTAGTTGCAATCTGTTGACTATTTTTTAAACCAAAATAATATCATTTTGATTTATAAAAAAAAAATCAGAGTGGACCAGAGTTTTGGTCCGGGTCGACCACCAAGTTGGGTTTAAAAACTCTATTTATGACCTAAGTCACGAGTTTGATCGGTTGACTTTGATGGTTTTTTGTGTTATTTTTAATTTATTTTGTTTAATTTCACTATTTAACAGTGAGTTGATTAAGAATTAAATTTTATAATTTGTTTTAATTTATTTTTTATAAAATTACTCTTATAACCCGAGTTTTGCATGTTAACTCGACTTGACCTGATTTATTTTTTAATTGAATTTTATTTTTAATATTAGTTTGATTGATAATCTTGTTTATTTTTTTTATTTTTTATAAGATTATCAAGTTCTTATGGTCTAAGTAATGAATTTGATAAATTAACTTGATTTGATATTAGTTGATTAAATATGTTATTATTTCAATATTTTTTAAAATATTTTTTTTTTATTTTTTTTAGTTAAATTATATTTTTATATATCATCTAGTTATCTTTGAACATAACAAATCAACCAAATTTTATCAAATTAATTTTTATATAGTTTAATTTTATTTTTTTGTTAAAAAATATATTTAACAGTATGTAAATATTTATGTAAATATATTTTTTATATATTTTTTTAAAATAATCTTACCCCTAGTAATATTGTGCGGGTAATCATATAGTATTCTACTCCTACGATAAAAAAAAGAAAAGAAATCTTTAACGTATCAAGCATCAATTGGGAGGCCGCCACTCAGATAAAGAAAAGAAATCTTTAACGTATTAAGCATCAATTGGGAGGCCGCCACTCAGATAAGAAGCACAAGATGGTCCACGCTGCGCAGCCAATTCGGGACTCGAATCTTGAATATCAAATTTAACAGCATCGAGACCAGCTACTGCGAGGGTGAGGTTGCTAAAATATCATGCCTTCATGAAAATATAGTTCCAATGGGCTCAAAAGTTATCCTCTTCATTTAATTCTGGGTATTATGACCAGTACCTCCGGATTGGGGAAATTAGAATTCAAAGAGCTTCAACAAACAAACGATAATTGAGAAGGGGAATTCTGGGAAAAACTTGTGCACCATAATTGCCAGCTCTTACTGAATAATGTACAAATTAAGCATTGCTCCATCTAAACACACCATCCATCTTATAGCGTGTTTGGCAAGGCGACTATGCCGTGTTTTTACTATATCTGAGATTTTTTTTTAAATGTTTTATTTTGTGTTTTTTATGGTGTTAATGTTAAAGATAATTTTTAAAATATAAAAAAATATTATTTAACCACATTCTACATGCATTTCACTTCCGATTTTACATAAAAGCGTTTTTACACTTCATTTTTTCGCTTCTCACATCCACCTTTTTATGTGCCAAGCTATAAACATTTCACTATACATTATCGAGTGAAATGCCAGAAGCGAAAAAGTGAAGTGCAAATATGGAATAAACCTGTACGAATCCCTCTTAGGGTTTGTTAAATCTGGTTCAAGGTTTCCCACAAAGATGCACACTGCCTTCTTGCAAACCCAACCCTTCTGTTCTCCAAATCATAAACAACCTCGAACCCCTGTTGCTGGTAATTCCCCAAAGTAGCCCCAGGCCCACCACTCAACTCAGCCTCATCACCACCGTTCATCAGCATCAAACAACCAACCTTCCTCTTCTTCCCCTTCCCATCACCACCATCCAAGAACTCATAAAAATAATTCCTCCTCGGCAGTACCACACTGGATCCATTCCCCACAAAATGCAACACCACCCTTGGTACATTCACCACGTTATTATCAAAATAATAGCACGGGCTCAGCCCGGTATTTTCCTCGATGACACTAGCTCGCTCATTAACTCGCCCAACTCGGTTCTCAAACTCTGCCACGATGAAGTCATACAAACTCGCCGGCAACATAGTGAAAGTAGTCCCCGAATCCACCACAACCCCACCACTCCCCTCTCCATCAACCTTCCTCAAAAAATCTGGCGCTGGAATTTTTTTTCTACCAATAGAAATACCCTCAAGCCCAACACAATAAAAGTAAGGGTGTCTTGGATTATCAAGCATAGAAGTATACACAAAACTAGGCTTCTTAACACCGTTTACCCTTCTCTCTTTCTCATCATGATCATACCTTCCTAGAATGAGTGGACTCGGTCGACGAACCCCGTCTGAATCAAACGAATGAGACACCAAACAATAAGAGAATTGATTTCCAAGTTGGGGAGATAATGTAGCAAGCTGAGCAGGCAACGAAAGGACTCCCCGCCCAAACCCAGCAACCCCAATAGGCTCGGCGAGCGTGGTGTGGGCACAGCCAAATGTGAAGTTATTGAATATCAAGTTAGTTTGGTTGCTTAACGGTAGCCTAATAGAGTCGCGGTAAAGGCGAGCTATCAGGCTGCCATCGCCATAAGCATAATAGAATTGTGGGCAAGAATGTTTTCGACAATCAGATATTTCGATGGATTCTAACGGGCAGTTGGAAATAGCACAAAGATCGGAGCTTGGGAGATTGGAGTGTACAGCCGAACATGCAGACGATTTACAAGAGACTGGCGTGGCAGTTTTAGATAGTTTTGGTGGGGGGGTGGAAGCGAGAGACGCGTTTTCAGCTTTGCCTTCACAGAGAATGCATTCGAAAGGCTGGCATGGGAACCAAACAAGGTCACTTCCGGTGTCAAGATAGAGAGAGATGGGTTGAGAGTTGATAGTAAAGGAGAGAGTGTAGTCACTACCAGGAGAGAGAGGGAGGGAGACTTGACGATGTTTGTGGCTGTTCTTGTTGTTGTGGTGGTGGTGGTGGTGGTGGTGGAAGCGGGCGGTTGAGCGGGTGGAGGTGGATTTGAGGAGGTGGTGGGTGGAGGTGAATTGGGTTTTGGAGAGGGAGTGAATTAAAGGCAGAAAAAGAGTTTGCGAAGTCGAGATAAAAACGTGAGTGAAACAGAGTATGAAACAGAGCAACAAAGAGTGAGAAGTTGCCATGAGTTAACTACTTAGGTGTTTTGTTTTTTTGTTTTGTTAAGAAGAGAGGAGGAGCATAGAGACAGAAAATGGAGTTGAAATTTGAATTTGATTCAGGAGAGAGAAGGCTGAGAGGGGAGTCTTTAAGAGGATTGAGGGTAGAGAGGAGAGGAGGAAGATTCTGGGGGACGAATGGAGTTTAGGTTGCCAGCGGGGGAGGCTTGCTTACATGTGTGTGTGTGTGTGTGTGTAGATTAGAGTGAGTGAGAGAGTGATAATTACGGGAGATTAAATAGATGATAATTGAGATTGTAGTAGTTTTGTTGGTTTAAAATGTTTTTATTTAAAAATATATTAAAATAATTTTTTTATTTTTTTAAAATTAATATATCATATAAAAATATTATTTTAAATGAAAAAACTTTTAAAATTTTCGAAAATATGGCCTCCATCGTATTTTTAAATATACTCGGCAATTGTGGTTAATTTAAAGATATGTTTCTGTATTTTTAAAAATAATAAAAGACTTTAAATTTTTTTATAAATACATCATACCACAAAGCTAAATAATATCTAAATATATAGAATGTGAAGTTTGAGACTATTCTAAGATTTGATTTCACTTTTACCTAACTGAAGCAAAGTATTACCCGTGCCTTGTCTTGGCCTGGCTGGAGTTCATCTTTGGTTGGGATAAGCATCATTAGTTTCTTAATCTTTAATTAATACAATGGATTACCTTGATTCAGAGGGCAGGACATTGTAGAGAAACCAATCGAAGCCTTGAATCCCCAGTAAAGAATATAATATAAAATAAAAATATTGAAGTACAGTTGAATATTCAATGGGGAAGTCAAACCTAAGGCACTGAACCGGGCCCTAGAGTAACATTTAAGTGTTGTGCTAAGAAGACTTTTTGACTTTTTTTCTCCTCCCCACAACTACAAGTCAGCTTCCACCCTGTATGGTCATTAACAAATAAGTACTCCATCTTCTAAATATTGCTAATTCCCCCCCGATTTTTCTTTTTTTTTTGCATATTGGCTTCTATTTCTAACACAGTTCAGCAATAAATGAAGTCCAATAAATATATTAACATAATTAGGGAACCTGTTAGCTTTTTTCTTAAATTAAAATGACAAGGTTGACCAAATATTATATTTTCAGGTACAAATAATTTTCCTTGGACTAAAACAGAATCTTCCAAAGGAAAGGAGAAATTCATGGTTAGAATTGAGGTTTTCTCTGCAATATGCATAAATTGGAAAAATATTTATATCAACATATAATATTGTAAAAAAAAGAAAAAATCTTCAATCTTTGCTCTTATGTTGTTTTCTTTCAAGCTTCACTTTTACACTCATATTTATTTAATTTATTAAGATTTTTTTTACAGAAAAACCTAATCCTAGTTGTGGTTTAAGAGATAAATAAATCAATCAGCTTAACACTGATTCTAGTTCCATATCTGATGATTTATTAAAAAAATAATAAGGTACATATATTATAAAAAATAAAATAAAATAAGAGAATTTCTCACAAGTGCTTTGTTTGTTTGTTGACAATAAAAATGTCAAATTGATGGAACAAAGTTGTGTCTAACTTGATAAATTAAGAATCGTTACTTGTTAATTAACAAAATAAAATAATAATTCTTCTTTTTTCTAAAGCCATGAGCTTCAAGATTGTAATTCTAGCATTTAATTCAAAATAGTGAGTTTAATAAGCTCAATTAAATGGCATGGAAACCAAACAGGGCTGGACATGTAAGACCATAGAAAATATAGGGAGAAATCAGCAAGAGTTTGAAGGTCGAGGACTGATCTGTTAATGAATATATATAGGTTGGGTCTAATATATAGGCTTCGGGCTTCAATGCAAGAGTAATAACATCAAGGAATTCACGTGGAAAGTAGCCATCACAGCTATTCCTTTCCAACATAACTCAACCCAGTTTCAGCAAGATTCGGGTGTCTTTTAATTCTGAAGTTTTTTTATTTAAAAATATATTAAAATAATTTATTTATTTATTTTTAATATTAATATATTAAAATTATTAAAAAATTTAAAATTTTTATAAAAAACTAATTGAAATCCTTTATAACATTGCTAATGTGTTTGAAAATATAATTATATTTATTTTTTTAATTTTAAAATTTTAAAATTTTCATAGAAAACTGATTGAAATTCTTCCTCAGCATTATTAATTTGTTTGAAAGTGTAATTATAATTATTTTTTAAAATATTTTTTATTTTAAAATAAATTTTTTTATATTTTAAAAATTATTTTTGATATCAGTATAAAAATAATTAAAAAATATTAATTTAAAACAAAAAATATTAAAATATTTTAAAATATTTTAACATAAAAATAAATAAGGCTGAAATTCTTGAATCGTGTTTCCCACAACGTACGAATAAGGAGCGTGGAGATTTTGTTTGGTCCTGTTTGATGTTAAAAACGGGCCCCCCTGCGTATGGATAACTCTGCCGAATTTTTGTCCTATAACTTGTGAATGTACCTTGGACGTACCAAGTCCATTGAATCACCATCGATATAATCTTGTCCTCGATTTTACGTGCCGAATCTACTTAGATACATGAGATCTACAAGACGCTCGCTCGAGTGAATTATGTACGAAATACAAGTTTTTTTTTTCAAAGTTATTATTTTTACAAAACTTTCATATACGTTCATGTGTAATTCTCAACTTTTGTATATTAGCAATTAGAGGTATAATAATATAAAATTGTTGAATTGCTTTTCAATTAACCTTCTCAAGAAGATCTTCTTCGCTCTAACAGCTCATGAAGTACTGTCGAAGACACATTTGAGTATTAGGGCGCTTGCAAGGATTGGAGAGATAATTTCATAGGCTACCAGGGGGTTATTATGTAAGTTGAAGTCTAATGATTAGATCAGCATCAATAGTATAGAATATAGTAAATCTTGATTTTAAAGCTTTTTAAAATGAATTAAAAAAAAATTAATTTTTTTTTTTGATATCAATATTTTTAAAATGATTCAAAAATATAAAAAAATTAATTGAAAACATTTATTTTTCAAGAAAGCTTTGAACTGCCATACCAAAAAAAGATTCTTAATTGATTTAAAAGAGGGGTTGCCAAACCCTAACTGCCGACATTGGAGCCAACCCAATGTTTAAACAAATCACAAAACACGTCGCAATAATGTCTTCAGAAAACTATCAATTTAACTCCTTTGGATCTATCTCGCTTCGTAAAATGATGGAAAAAAAAGAGATCTCTCCCTATATATATATATATATATATTGAAATTGAAATAATTTATTCCATTTAATGCACAAAACCAACATAGAATTTAAAATGAAATTTAATCTCCACTGTCACTCAAATCTGAATTTACTCTTTAATGTCGAAAAAAAAAGACGAAAAAAGTGAGAGTTGAGCATCGAGGAGGAGGGCATCTCGAGTTCGATTCTTTTCCTGGCGAGCAAAGGAAGTCACGAGAAGGTTGTTAGGGCTATGGAGGATGGGAAACCTAGCTAGGATATTTACCAATCAAACTTCGAAAATGCCTAACAGTCACTACTATTCCTTTAAAATCATTATTATAAATGAACCCACGACCATATATGAACAACGCTTGAAAGAGACGACTCCTCTATCAGCCAATCTTCATAATTTTGTGCCATTGCATCACCACCATACTTCGATGAACAACAGTCCATTGTGATTTGGTGACAGCCAGCTGCTCGGAGTCCTTATCAAATGTCGCCTTTAAAGTTTTTTTAAAAAATAATAATTCCCTTCCTAAACAAATATCGACCTGTTTCCTACCTAGCTGTATAGTAATGATGTCCATGATTCTATTTATAGGCATGATTTTGTTTTAAATTGGCTAAATATAATTTTTTTTCCTGGTCGGAAGGATATTTGGAACATAGGTGCTCTAGAATTTATGGTGGCTTTATTATACATATCTGTCTAAAGTATGTTAACATAATGGAAGGTACACCTATCTTAAAATGTGTGGTTTTGTCACGTTCTGTGTAGTGGAACCAACCTAAAAGATAAAGGGCCTAGCTTCCTCTACATTATTTTTGTTCACTAATCATGATTTACAAAATAATAATAATAATAATAATAATAATAATAATAATAATAATAAAAGAGGTATGGGTTGAAAATTCAGTACCTACAGACATTAAAAGATAAGGAAAAGAGAAACTACACCAATGATTACAGGGATAAAGTTGTTTGATAAAGAGCTAGTAGAGCAGTGGTTGATTTTAAATTATTTTTTTTAGAAATATATTAAAATAATATTTTTTATTTTTTAAAAAATATATAAAAAATACAAAAACATAAAAAAATAATTTTAAACAAAAAAGATTTTTTTTTAAAAAAAAAAACATGTTTCAAAATACCTAGATCGGGAAAGATTACTCTCATTTAACCTCAACCCAGTGACCCACAAGAAACAACTCAACATTTTCTCATCTAAAAAATGAAGAGGAAAAACAGAATAAAAACTATACATTGGGACTGACAAAATTGATGGTGAATTGAAGTTCAATCACACCCAGAAACACGAATAAAAATCTTCATCGCAGACTCTTCAAATTTTATTTATTTTTATTGTACCACACAGAACTTTGGAAAGAGACTCTGGTTCCACCCAATCAAAGCTTAGAGCATTAACAGCTCTACGTTTGAAGCTTGCTAGCAAATAAATGAAAACAGGGGCAGATTTGGGTTCTAGTCTTGCTTGCCACTCCTTTCCATAGACCAACAGCGTAGAACGGAGACGGGTTGATGATGAAAATGGTTCAACCAATCCAAGCACAATACACTATCACTGAAAGTTTACTCGTGAGGTATATACAAGCCAGCTCGAACACCTTACATAATAAATAAAAGATGAAAGAAGTGCACTGTCACTTGTAAAACATTTCAATTTTGTTGGAACCACGCCACATATTTTGAGCGCACCTCTAAGTGTGTTGAGTGAATATACAGCTGGGAGTAGCAAAATAGCTTATATTCGGACTAACAAGCGACCGTGACTACTAACTACTATTATAGGCAAAAACCATTTACTACAGACTGCCAGAGAATTCTCGTATTAGAGGAAATTAGTCATTTTAACAATGCTCCGCCGCGGCTAAATGCAAACTTTTTCAACACATTTTTTTATATATAAAAAATCCAAGTGTGAAAAAAAAAAATTCAAAATCAAAATAAGAAATAAAATAAAAGGTAATAAAAATTTTTGAATGAAAGGTTAAATTAAAAAGAAAAAAAAATTAACAAAAAAATTAAAAATCAAATTAAAAAATAACATACCATAAATTTTGATTGAAGGATGGATGAAATTAAAAATCAATAAAGCTTTAACAAAAAAATTAAAAATTAAAAAATAATATCTAAATTGAAAAAAATAATATATAACAAATTAAAATTAAAAGATTTAATTGAAAACAAACAAAACTTTAATAAATTAATCATAAACAAAAATTTAAAATTTAAAAAATAAAAACTTAAATTAAAATACTAAAAAATATAATATCAATATATACTTTTTGAATCAATGGTTCAACATAAAAAGACCAAAGTATCCTCTATAAATCCAAAATTAACAAAAAAACCTCTATGAAAGAAAAACACCACTGCACAGGTTAACTATTTTTTCTTGATTGCAAAACTAAAAACATCTTTTTCTGTATTTATAAAACAAAAAAGACAAACACCATCTATCAACAACTTTATTTATTTTAACTTAGTATTTTAGTCATTTTAAAAATAACTAATGGACCATAGAAAAGGCATGCATATTATTTGTTCTTTGAAGGGCCAAAAAATAATTTCATTATGACAATGAACAGTTTTTTTGCATCTGGGTGCACAGTGATTTATCCATTTCTTTCAGAGTTTAGGGCAACGTCATGGCGGATATTTTGATTAACAAATATTGATGAACTGATTAATGTGCCAAGTTATCTGCATGATGACTCCCAAAAATACAGTTTGAATTAACTGCAACAGTAAGAAATGCCATTTACTGCTCCATAAGAGCCACGCCAACTAATTTCCAAACATTCACTAATCTCCATCAAGAGGGGGAATAAATTCCTTCAGCATAAGCATAACAAGGTAAAATAAACAAAAGGACCCATGGGATGGCAGCTGGGTTGTAATTCTTTCTTTTTATCCCCCAACACATTCAACAGTTAGATCTATTGAAATATATCCAAGGAGCCACTGGGATAGCTGGAAACTCGGTTCATAGGTAACAATCAAACAGCTCTTAATTTGTAAAGAAGACAGTCTCAGAGCCTGTAGCAGACCGAAGGGAAACAAAGAAAATGGCGCCCTTAAAAAAGACAGAGAGAGAGGGAATAGGCTACCAATATGTATGCATGCATGCATATTTAATTACTCCTGCTCCACTTACTTTCCACTGGGAACTCCTACTCTGGACTATTACAGGACCCAAAAATGGATCACTGTGCCTTTATCAGTACTCACTCAAATACTGAAAGTCACGATCTCTACAAGATTTAACCATGAATATGAACACTTAGAATGCCGTTTCAAGCTGTTTTAGATCCCATTACACGAGATACATAGTTTGACATTAGCATTTATTGTTATTCATACCTGAAACAGGATTATCCATGAAGGTGTTGTAGATTATGCTGTTAGAACCTGAGACAAGACCTTACATGCATGATTCACATGCAACACTGAAAATCATATAACAGGTCTGGATTAAATTTGGACATTAAAGAATGTATTTAAGGTTTTTGGGAAAGCAATAATTTAATTGGTCTTGGATATCAACAACCAATATTATAAAAACAATGTTAATGACATTAGACAGAACAAAGCATAGAAACCAAGTCATGAACCCACCTAAGGAGTGAATGCTTATGAAGGCTTTATTTTCTCCAGCAGCTTCTCAGCTTCAATAAACCCAAGGGGTCCTATAGACATGTATTTTGCACGTTTCCATCTGTCCAATTTATTCATGAGTTAAGATCTCTTCATTTTAATAGGCAATTAACGTATGAAAAGATAATTAAGAGAATAATTCAAGCTTTCAGTACTTGCCAAACATCATCAAATTGCTTACTTGGGTATGAATGGTAATGCCAAACAATGGAGGTGTAGATGGTTAACACTGTTAAATGGAGGCTGATGAAAGCCAAATCTGTCATTCAGAAAAATAATATCTTAATTAAACTTGTTCTTGGAGTAAAGTTTCAGTGCAAAGTAAATGAGCTTCATAGTAATCTGGCATGTTTTATTTAAAGTATGATCCATGCTTATGACTCCCTTGAGCATATTGTTCAAAAACTTTTACTCAGGGCCACTACTTCATTTGTTGCTCATAGCTACACTCAAATGTAAATCTACAAATCATCTAAATTATGCATTGGTCACCACAGATAAATCAGACCAAAAACATATAAATCACGGCATAGGTGCTTTCATGCATGAACCAGTACCTGTACTGCTTTGACTGTGGTGCATCTTGGTGTAGTAGTGTTTTCCCCACATTCAACATGTGATTAACTAGAAAAAACAGATAGGTAACCATTGGTTAGCCACGAGATAAGTGACAAAAGAATATATCATGCGCTAGCTCAAACTTCGAAGTTCAGACTAACGAACTGCTATATTGAATGTTCTTTACCCAAAGAATAATCTTCATCTCTCTTCTGGAGATCATTGACAGTTGGAATGTGCTCCACAGGAATCACCAAGAAATGCCTACCATGAGGCAAACCCAAAGGAACATTTTACGAAAATATTAAAAGAATTTAGCAAGAAGAGTAAGTGAGGAGACAAAATTGGCACCAAACACTCATACAAGATCACCCCAAACAACGCTAAAAGAACTACTGAAAGAAACAAGATAGATACTTGCTATAGAACAAACACGTCTCCTGTGTTTAATGTGTTTGGCATTAACTTTGTATTTGATGAAAAAAACACGCTCCAACAAAAGAAAATGTCTTTAAAACCAAACGACAACCAAAATAAAGTTTCATAAACACAACGCCAGTAAAGTCAACCTGGAATTTAAAAGGTTTAGAATCCCCTTGCGCTGTCTGTCCGAGATCAGGACTCCTACTTGTTTGCTATATCATCATTTCATATGAATGCCCATGTTTGTATCCATCAATCAAGAGATTACAGGCATACCTATTACTGCTTGTTTGCTATATCATCATTTCATATGAATGCCCATGTTTGTATCCATCAATCAAGAGATTACAAGCACAAAAATAACTACTTGTTTACTAGGTTGTACTCTGATATGAATGCCCATGTTTGTATCCATCAATCAAGAGATTACAAGCACAAAAATAAACATATCATAATGATTAAATCTTAAGCAGCCAGAATTATAAAATAAAAGGTGACCTACTGTTAAAGATTGGATAATTTTCCCCACTATGATATTATTGGATTCAATCCAACCCTGATTTAAATCAGAGAAAGCTAAAAACTATGTATGACATTATCATGTAATTTGAGGGAAAAACCAGAGAAAATGATTTTGGCAAACCTGAAAGCGGAAGGGTTGATATCTTGAAACGCGACCACCTTGTCATCCTGCAACAGGACAACCAAAAAAAAAAAAAACTCAAATTAAATATTTCGGAAATGACTCGTTTGGTTGCTGGGAGAAAAAAATGGCCGCAACCGAACCAAAAAGAAGATTGAGAGATAGAAACGAACAGAGTGAAGGAGAGTAGTGGAAGTGGGTTTGGTGGCAATCTGGCAGAAGATACATGATGAGGTCGCTCCCGCCATTTGCCCACCCCCGCTATCGCCCGCAATTTATCAGAATTTCCGAAAATTAAGATTTCAGACTTCATAAAAGAAAAGAAAAAAAAAAGATTTTCGTACAGTTACCTTAATTTGTTTTTATTACACAGTTGGCTCTCTTGTTTTACTTATTACACTGCATCTTCATTTTGATGAGGGAATGTTTACATTTCATCCTTGTTATGATTTGAAATTGGACGTGAGACTATTGTTTGAGGCTTTTGTTGATAATAGAGGATTAAAAGGGGGTTATGGACACTGATTAAGATTGTTTTTTATTTAAAAAATATTTTTTTATAATTTATTTTTTAATATCAGAATATAAAAAATAACAAAACAATATTCAACCGTTGGGCCAAATAATCTTTAAAAATAATTTATCAAAATTTCGTTTATAATATGTGGATTTAAATAATAATACTATCTTTTGGAATAAATTTTAATTTTTTTTATATATAATTTATTATAATTTTAATTTGAGATTGATATAAATGAACTAGCAATAATTTCTAGAATATATATTTATCCTCTCGAAATTTTAAAATTGAAGGAAAAAAGTATTTTCAAAACTCAAGCTATATGATTTAAAGAGCTAATGTGAATAATAAATTTAAAATTAATTTAATTAGTATAATATGCATAATTAGCAATTAGATAATCCATATAGAAACATATTTCGTACCCTTAATCCTGAATTTTATCAATGATCGATCTAATTTCAAAATCTCATTTGGAGAAGAGAAACGTGAGAAGAAAAAAAAAAACTCTTGCAAATTGACTAGATCGTGATGAACTCAATTGATGCATTTGTTATTTTAATATTATATTGATATAGGATTGGAAGCCATTTTTAATTTTTCATAAGCAGAAAAAACATTTTCATTTTTTCTATGAGTTTTTTATTAGGTCCTTTGTCGGAAGGCCAACTGGCCAAAACGCCATCCTTCAACCCATAATAATACAACTTCAAATAACTTCTAATAATTACTAATTAGAGCCCGAAGCAACCATTAAAATTTTGTAATCTCAAAGCTGGGAAATTAATGCAATTACAATAAAGTTAAGGGCAATTAGTTTAATTAATAGATAAGATACTCCAGAAAACAGCATTTCGACTTTTGGTAAACACCTAAAACCTCAGCAGGCATAAGGCAAGCCTTTACTCTGCCACGCCGTAAGCAACTCATACCATGCCACCACTCAATCCAGTAGCCTTTTCCTTATGATTCCTCTGCTCTCAAAAACCCTAACAATCCCCTCTCTCCCTCTACGTTGCTCAACTCGCTTGATTCTCACTCCTAACTCACTATTCACCCGCTTCACTTCCACTCCAGCTCCAACAGAAACCCGACCCATGAGCTCTGACTCGACTCCACGCGTCTTCCAGCTCAAACTCGACCCGCTCACCGGTAACTCTGAATGGGTCATCATCGAAGACGGAAACAAAGAAGAAGAAGAAACTTTTAAGAGTTCCAGCAATGCACTTCTAGCTACGACCTCGTATTTGGACATGCTCAATGACGATACTAGAAACAGAGCATTCCGTGAAGCCATTGACAAGACCATAACCAAACCTTGCCACGTCTTAGACATCGGGTACATCAAATATTTTAAATTACATTTACAATTACTACTACTACTAATATACAATTTTTATGGCGGCAGGGCTGGGACAGGGCTGCTGTCAATGATGGCAGCAAGAGCAATGGGGACATGCGATGATAGCAAGAAGGGGATGGTAACAGCGTGTGAGTCATACCTTCCTATGGTGAAATTAATGAGAAAAGTATTGAATTTAAATGGCATGGGAAAGAATGTTAAGATTTTTAACAAACGCTCCGATGAACTCCAAGTTGGTGTCGATATTCCTTCACGAGCAGATGTTCTTGTAAGCATAGTAATTCGTATTCTTCGTACGCATTCGTTTTTTCTCGGGTGTTATAATGCTTGTTTACTTGGTAAAGTTAACTAACACAACACCAATGCTATCGAATGGTTGATTGTTTTGTGGTTAGGTGACTGCTAAGTTATTTGTCATTTCAAAAGTGGGGTTCTAAAGTCATAGTAGATTGGGCTTGGTGAGTTGTTGGTAGTTTAAGCTTATGGAATTGCTTACTTATGAAGTTTGTTTCTGATTTGATTACAGGTTAGTGAGATACTAGACTCAGAGTTATTGGGTGAAGGGTTGATACCGACTCTACAACATGCACATGACATGCTGCGGGTGGACAATCCACTGACCGTGCCATATCGAGCTACGACTTATGGCCAGGTGTTTGCATAGACCATCTACTGTTCGGTTTCTTTTTCTTTTATTCTGGACGTATTTTTGACACTTTGTTTTCTCTTTGAAGATGTTACATTACATGTCAATTGTTGCCTTTTAGCATCTAATGTTAATATTCTCATCTTTTGCCTATGTGGCTATGGCCTTTTCCTCATACAATGGGGGACAGTATAAAACTCACTGTTCCTTGTGAGGGTTCTGAGTAATAATAATTGGCACTAAATTTGTTATATGTGGTGTTAAGTGACCAAAAACCTTTGAAATCTTTTTTCCTCAACGATTAGAGCAAACAAAAGTTATCCTTCAGAAATTAGCATCCGTTGGCACCTTTGAAAACTCAACAGAAATTAGTCACATAATCAGAATGTGAATACATTTCTTTAGGCTTCACTAAAGTCTGGAATAATTCGCTTTAACTTTTCTGTGCATGGGTGGGAGTAAATTCTTGTGCGGCTGACTTATTCATTACACAGTGGATCTACTGGAAACTTGAAATCTGGCCATTTACATATCCATTAGAGAAGGATAAATATAGCCATTAATATAGAGGAAGGATTTCTAGTTAAATTGATTTAATGTTCCCTCCACTGAACCCTGGAAAATTGTTTGATATTTTGCTTTTTACCCTAGTAAGTTTAGCTGAATGGCCTAGGCTAGATCAAAATTAGGCTATAATGTGATTTTCTTTTGCTGATAGTTGCTCTACCAAACTGTTTTGTATTATTTGACTCATGTTTATTCCTTGAGTTGTTTTCTTGTCACACCTCAAAGCTTTTTTTCCCCTGCTTTTCAATTGGCTTTTTATTCAGTAAACTTGACTAGTTTATTTTTCAATTTATTCATCTTTTGGTTGAAAATTGTTCCTCATTATGATTTCAAAGCTCACGCTAGTGTATTGTTTTTCCTTTTCAAGTTGGTTGAAAGCACGTTCCTGTGGAAGCTGCATGATCTATCTAATAATGAGGAAGAAGCCTCAGACAGCATTCGTCTTGCTCCAGCTGGCTTGGACACAATTTTACATGTCAAAGCAAAACAACATCCCATGCATTGTGATGCAATATCAAAAGAGATAAATCTGGTAATGACATTGGTCACTATCCTTCTGACTTCTTCAAGAGGAAAATTGCTTTAACTATCGCTCAATTTAGGATTCATTCAGCTGTCAGAACCCTTCAAAATTTTTGAGTTTGACTTTTGGAAACGGCCAGACAGCCAACGGGACTCTAAATTGCTCATCAAGGCAACTAATGATGGTAGAATTCATGCTGTAGTATCATGGTAAGCCTATCCCTGTTGCTTATGTCATATTTCGGATAGCTATGAAATTTGTATTTATTTTTGTTCAGGTGGATTCTTCAGCTTGATTCAGAAGGGACAATCTTTTATTCCACTGCTCCTAGATGGATAACTTCACCAATAGCCACACGTAAGTTGCAGATGCCTTTCTCTTCTCGGGCACTTTTTATTCCGCTCTAAAGTGCTATAATTGTGCACATACTGCATCCTTGGAAGGAAGTTGAGCGATTCAATGAAGAAAGGGTTTAAATGACTGACAATGTTTTATGGGTGTTTATGCAAATAGAACAGCAGTCGATCATGATTTGCTGACTAGGTAGTACTTTTATATCAATAGTGAAAGTTTGCAATCTTGTGGCATCTTCAATCAAGTGAAATAGCTAAGAATGAGCTATAGAAGTTGTCTCTAATTGAAAAAAATAAAATTCCTATGGACTGTTCCTGAGGTATGGAAAAGTGGGACTTTTGATAGCGATCAGTGCCTGAGACTTCTAAATTGTAACAGACAAGATCAATGTCAAGACTCCTAAATTGCAGCAGATAGTAGCAATATTCTGAATAAATATTATCTCCTTTGCGAACTGTTTTGTAACCTAACTCATGAAAAAGGTATGTTATGAGAAGGTAATTTAAGTGAGCTGTTCATTGTTTTTCCTAGTCAGATATGCTCTTGAGATGATTAGATGTCCATCTACACCTGAGAGTTTCAAGGAATTGACAAGAAACATTTTGAAACTTGTACCTTTTTTTTAGATTTGTGCTGGAACATCACAATTTGTTCTGATTCGTCTAATGAAGTTGATCTAATGCTTCACTAGATACTGGAAATTGGTGTGACCACTGGAAACAGTGTGTGTGGTTCATTCCAGGGGAAGGTATACCCATATCCAAGGGTGAAGAGGTTCATTTACATGCTGTTCATTCTGATACGAGTGTCTCATATAATCTTGCAACCCAAGCCACTGATATTAGGGAATGTGATTCCATTGCTGGAGATTCTCTCCTCACATTGTCTCCTGAAAGAATTGCAATCTATGGAGACAGGAAATGGAGGTCTTGCATGTCAACAGCTTTGAAGAATTTGGTACGAGCTCTCTGTCTCTCTCTCTCTTTCTCTGGAGTCATTTTCAGTGCCTGTCATTTTTAAAAAGGAAGTTGCATTTCGCAGTTGCAGGCAAGAGTTCACCCACTGTGTGTTGTTGCGGATGATAGTGTTTTCTTATCACTTCTTGTAGCACATCTTTCAAAGACTTCAAATGTGATAGCTCTGTTTCCTGGGTTGCGAGAGAGGGGCGTGCAGTATTTGAAGGCAGTTGCTGATGCTAATGGCATCACAGCAGATCATATAGAAGTTTTTCAAAAGAAGAAATACTTGACTCTGAACGATACTAAGCAGAAGAAGGTATCTTAGTTTTGTTACTAATTGGCATTTCACATATTGCTTTTACTTTCTCAGTTTGTAATTTTTGAGGTTCTGTAT